AGCACAATGCAAGACCACAATACAGTTTGTCATGGTAAGCTTCCCCAGCTTGACTGAGGCAGTTACCAGTCAGAAGGGGCTTATAGACTTTCCCCACTACTTGCTCCAAAAATGCAGTTAACCAATTGTCTTCTAGGGTTGGAGTATATGTTCCCACAGGGATTGCAGCCTTTCCTCAGGAGATAACACATACACCACAAGTCTGGACAAAGGAAGCCTACAAGAACATCATCACTTACTCTTACATGCCACGTGGAGGGCATTTTGCCGCCTTTGAGGAACCAAAGCTTCTGGCACAAGACATCCTGAACTTTGTCAGAAAAGTGGAACACCTGTGAACCTGCAGTTTCAATATGTACACAGAATGGAGGCAAGTTGGTTTGCCACCAGGAGAACCTTCACTTTGCCAGATATTAAATAAATCCAAAACAACTGCACATAGAAGACAGCATTTTATTTGGATAACAATTATAGTACTAAATTTGTTAATTAAACTCTAAAAACCTTAAGAAAAAAACAAACTTAAAAGCATCTTGTCTTCTTTCATACCCAGCACATCCTTGCTGCATTCAGAATTCAAGTATAACAGAACATGTAAACAGTTTAACACGGTAACATTGCACTCATTTAGGGAAGAGCATAGCAAGAAATGGGGCCTTTGTTCCTCAGAACCAAGCCTTCTCTTCAAGAGCTTATGCAGAACAAGCAACTTTGGTGGAAGAGTTCTGATCTCCTGAGCACACAGCTCCTATGTTCAAGTTATGATTCATTCAAGAGACCTGTGGTTATATATTCAAGTAGATAGCTGCACATAAGACTGCCTTCTTCATTCTGGCAGTTCTTCCCCTAGAGCAAGCTTTAGCAGTTACTACATATTGTAAGCAGTTCTTAAAGGATAGGCAGAGACAGCACCCCAGTGGACTACAAGCTCAATTTCCTCCTAGTTTTATCATCTCATTCCATTCCAAAAGGACAAAGTTAAAAATATGCATCAAGTGTAGAGTGCATTAACCTTTACCCTCCTTTCAAAAGATTTTTACCACCCTATCGTGCAATATTTGCTATCAGGAAATTGCAAGTGACCTCGCTACTGGTATGACTGGGTTTCCCTTCAAACAGAATAGAGCTCTAAGAAGACAGATGAACACGGGTGAACTAAATGGAGGCAACAGATGCCCAGGATAATAGATCCAGACAGACAAGAACACACGGTTACATTTCATAAAGTTATCATCACTTAAAGCAGCACCAGAGGTTATTGAATATTCTATAAACATTCTACAGAGCACACATCATTCATGAAAGCCTCTGAGTGTCACTGGTGCTTGAAACCAGATGTAGTCCTCCCAGTCAGAAGCCACATGCTGAGCAGGGAAGGCACTTATGTTGATGTCTCCATCACAGGACAAATTCACGGTGAGTTTCCTCCCTCGGGTTGGTACTTTATAGTTGAGCTTGGGCCGGAACCAATCAACACCACAATCGCGGTGTCCTTGGAGCATAACAACAGTGCCCATGGCAGGGAGAACCTTAAGCTCACTGAAGACATCCGCAACAAACAGCGAGTGGAACAGCTTGCGAACACAGGATGCGGTCTTCAGGCTCTCTTCAGCACTGCCTTCAAGGATGCCCTCCAAGTTGAGCTCATAGAGCTCCTTGGGCCTCATGACATTGCCACCAAGCAGAATAAGAACCCGAGGAACCAGTGTCAGTCTAAACATTACTTGCAGGTGCTGGAGCATTCCCTCCAGCTCCATCAGCACCTGCTGGCACTTCCTGCTTGCTGGGTCCATGGGGGTTGGCTTCTTAATCCCATCTCCATCCTGGGGAAGAATTGAAAGAAAAAAGAAAGAAAAAAGAAAGAAAAAAAGAAAGAAAAAAGAAAGAAAAAAAGAAAGAAAAAAAGAAAGAAAAAAGAAAGAAAAAAGAAAGAAAAAAGAAAGAAAAAAGAAAGAAAGAAAGAAAAAAGAAAGAAAAAAGAAAGAAAAAAGAAAGAAAAAAGAAAGAAAAAAGAAAGAAAAAAGAAAGAAAAAAGAAAGAAAAAAGAAAGAAAAAAGAAAGAAAAAAGAAAGAAAAAAGAAAGAAAAAAGAAAGAAAGAAAGAAAAAAGAAAGAAAAAAGAAAGAAAAAAGAAAGAAAAAAGAAAGAAAAAAGAAAGAAAAAAGAAAGAAAAAAGAAAGAAAAAAGAAAGAAAAAAGAAAGAAAAAAGAAAGAAAGAAAGAAAAAAGAAAGAAAAAAGAAAGAAAAAAAGAAAAAAGAAAGAAAAAAGAAAGAAAAAAGAAAGAAAAAAGAAAGAAAAAAGAAAGAAAAAAGAAAGAAAAAAGAAAGAAAAAAGAAAGAAAAAAGAAAGAAAAAAGAAAGAAAAAAGAAAGAAAAAAGAAAGAAAAAAGAAATAGCATATTTAATTATTAGGACACATTAGTCCTAATACACGCTTCAGAAAGTATACCCCATCCCTAAAAGTCAAGGAAAGCTGAAGGTTTTATGCTCCTTTCAAAAGATATAGGCATCCACATACAGAATCAGATCAGAAGAACACAAAAGGACACTCTATAGCTACTCAGTTTGAATCTGGCATGCGGAACTGATCAATTCCCACAAGAATTAGAAGCCACATCTTTTGAAGAACAGTTATTAGTAGTGTCCTGGTTTCAGCTAGAATAGGGGTATTCCATACAACAGTACATCATATAAACTGGGAGGAGTCACCCAGAAGGTGCAGATCACTGCCTGGGTAAGGCTGAGTATCAGCTGGCAGATGGTGAGCAACTGTATTGCTCATCACTGCTGTTTATTGCTTATTTTTCCTTTACCCTTTTAGTTTTAGATTCTCTTCACTTGCCATTTCCCTTATTATTATTATTAGCAGTAATACTATATTGTTTTTATCTCAACCCATGGGGTTTATATTCTTTCGATTTTCCTTCCCACCCCAGCTGAGCAGTGGGAGAGTGAGCAAATGGCTCTGTGGTGCCAAGTTACCATCTGGGTTTAAAACACAACTCCAAATCACCTGATTTTTTTTTTTTCCTGAAGAGCTGTTAGAGTAACAAACAAAACAGTGACATGCTTTAAGCAGAAAAAGAAATAAACAGTAACTTGTTGAGACCTTCAGCCACCCAATTTACAGGTTTGCTGCTTTTGTTTTGAATGAAGGTGTAGCAACATTTAAGGGTACAGCTACAATGAGCACTTCAGAAGCAGTTAAGACCCAATGCACGGGAATTACCGAACCATAACGGTTAACTGACAGGCAGCACTCGAAGGCCGCGGGCACTGCCGCCCCCAGCGCAGAGCTCCCCCGGCCACCCCCTTCGCCACCACGGTCCCTCACCTTAGCCGCCCGCCGGCAGAAAAAGGCGAGCTGCTCGTAGGGCAGCGGGAGCTGGTGCCGCTGGTGCATGACGTGCTTAAGGAGCTCGCAAGCGAAGAGGCAGCAGGTCTCCCGGGTCACCAGGCCCGGGAACACCACGGACACCAAGGGGCAGGCCACCGCCAGCTCACTCATCCGGGACACCATCCTGCCGCCGCGCTTCAGGCCTGGGGAGGCCTCAGGGAAAAGCACTGAGGACGCTGGAGAGACAGGAACAGCCGCAACACCGCCAGACGCCATTTGCTACCAGCAGCCGGCTGCGATTTGAACGGCCGCGGCCGCACTGCAGTATGGGAGTGGCGGAGTCCCGCCCACAACGGCTTCCGGCGGCGGGTGAGCCGTGCGCGGTGGGGAGGAGCCGGGTTCCGGCTCGTGGGGGCGGTGCGGGCAGCCCAGCCCAGCCCCGCCCAGCCCAGCCCAGCCCCGCCCAGCCCAGCCCAGCCGTGGGCGGTCAGGCTTTCCTGTCTGGGGCTCGGTCAGCAACGCCGGGAGGAGGCGAAGCGGCTGCTGCTGGAGTGCTCGGTGGGGCTTACGACCGCCGCACTGAGGAGGCACCGCAGTGGCTGCGGCAAACCGAGTGCCCCAGTCCGGCCGTGGGCACCGCGAGCTGCGGCTGCCACGTCGCAGGGCTGCTCAGGTGGCTCCGGAGAACTCCCGGACTGGGCTTTCCCCCTGCCCAGAGCACGACTGGCATGTGCGCGGCAGTGAGGGGTCAAAGCCCCGCCGGGGGCCGCTGGGTTCCTTCAGCCCTGCCAGGCAGCCCCGCTGGCTCCAGTGTAGCGCAGAGGAGCTCCCTCCGCCCCGCGGCGGGCGGGGAGCATGCAGTGATGGGAGCTGCTGTGTTTGGAAACAACGTGGCCGCAGCCCCATTGGGTGCCGCCTCATCACACCGCGAAGGGAGGGCGGTCCCTGCCGGGTGGCGGGAGGAGCTGCTGCCCTGTGCTGGCGGAGCGAGGTTACCGTGCCGGAGCCGTGGCTGCCTGCTGTAAGTGCCACGCACCGTGAAAGTCTCAACAAACACTAATAAAGAATCGCCGTCCCCAGGTGATGCGGTGGAGAAACACTCGGTATGGGCATGCTTCGGGTGGCAGAAGGGGTTTTTGGTCCTGGGGTATCGTTCCCCTGCCCCGGCAGGAGATAAAGGCGTCCTTTGAGGTAGCTCCTTGGTGAGCTGCTGCCTCCACGTATTTAATCGGCACCCCAGTGCCAAACGCCTACAGAAACGCCCGTCAGAACGGGTACTGATAGCTCGCTGTCACCGAACGGGGGACTCGCGGCAAAACGGGCCAAGTGCCGGAGGGGACGCCCGCGGGCACCGGTAGATCGCGGGGGTCAGGGACCGGGGAGCGGCAGTTCCCTGTGTGCTGTATGCCGTGGCCGCCAGGCGGCGCCGCCTCCCTCGGACTCGAACTCCCATTCGTCCCTGCGGGGGGAGTCCATGAAGGATCGAGGGGGTGCGCCGCGGTGCATGCTGGGAGCTGTAGTTCTGAAAGCAGCGCAGTAGGTCGGCGGCTGCCGGGACTCGGTTTCCCGTGGCGCCGCGCGGCGGTTGCTGACGCTGGGACCGGGGCGGCGGGGCCGTGCCGGGGAGCCGGGGCGGGGAGCGGGCGCCGCACCGGGGCGGCGGGGCCGTGCCGGCAGCCATGGACTCACGGGTGTCGGAGCTGTTCGGGGGCTGCTGCCGGCCGGCGGGCGGCGGGGCTGGCGGGGCGCTCCGCGGGCGAGGGGGGGCCGCGCCCGGCGGCGGCGGCTCCAAGGCGAAGAAGAAGAACGGGCGGAGTCGTGGGGGAAAGGCCAACAACCCGCCGTACCTGCCGCCTGAGGTGAGCTCCCCCGGCCTGGCCAGGGGCAGCCGCGTCCCGTCAGCTACAGTGGGGGTCTCCCCCCCAACCCGGGGCCTGGAGCCGCGGGGGCCCGCGCCGCTCCTGTCAGGGCCGGGCAGGGGCGGGAGGGGCGGTGTGTGTGTGTGTCCTAAGAGGTGGGTGCGGCGCGGGCTGTCCCGCACCCGGGCGGGTTCGGTCGTGGGTCAGGCGGGAGGCAGCTTCTGGAGAGGCTCGGCCGAGGGGTCCGGCGGTGCTGGTGCGGGGTCGTGCCGGGCAACCTGGGCCAGCAACCGTGCGGGCCGTCCTGCGGCCCCGGCAGCCCGGTGCCCTGCAGCCCCCCGGCCTGTCCTCCGGGGTCTGACGTGGCAGTGGGCAATGGTTGTGCCCCCAGTGCCAGCGGGTGCCCTGCGTGGTGTGGCAAGCCCTGTCCGTCAGAGGTATCTCGCTGCCTGGTGTCCATCTGCCGTCTGGGAACTGAGTAGCTTTGGAAACAATGCTTTGCTCAGCTCGTAGTGCCGAGCATCTTGTTCTTCCCAAGAGCCGATCTGTTGGGTGTAAGTCCCTTTCCAGCTGCCAAACTCAGGCATTGCTCAGCAGGTGCTTAGTGACTCCTTTCACAGCTAATTTGGCAACTGTTTTTCTTACATGGAGTACATGTAGATGGTACTGCGAGAGTGTGAGGCACTTGCCTCTTGCAGCAGGAAGAAGTGACATTGGTAGGATATGGGTGTGTTGGTTAGTCTAATAGGACTGCCACTGTGGGGAGCATCATGTTGCCCTGGAGTCAATTGCTTGGCCTCACTCTGTAAGTCTTCTGTAAAATACATAAGAGCCTGCGCTTGGAGGGAACAGTTCCTCCACAAGGGCTGTGACTCTTGGCAAGAAGGGAAAACAGCGCTTTGCTACTGTTAGATGTTCTCCACGGGCAGTACTGTACCCTGCAGCCGCGGTTCAGTTTTTGTTCCTTTGAGCTGGAGGCTGGACAGCCCCCTGTGGGTTCAGCACAGCTTCCTGTCCCTGACCACCCTGTGCAATATGTGGCCCAGCAAGTCTAGGCTTGTTGCTTTTCTAGTCTCAGCTGCCTTGAAGGAGACCCACACCCTTATTTGGACGACAGCTCAATATGTTAATGTGGTTTCCTTAGAGCTGGAAAGCTGGTAGATGGTAAGAGAGGAAGACTTCCACAAGCACCCTTTTCTCACTGCATAGCTTCACTGCCTGAGAGCTAAGCTGACAATTACGAACTTCCCTCTGTTGGCCCTTTGCCACCCTAAGCAGTGCTGTGGTTAGGAGCTGAGCTAGAAGGCAAGGAGATTGCCTCTCCTGACATGCAAACAGGTGTCCAGAGGAAAAGGAAGTGCTTAGGTTTGGTAGCCCCATTTAGTGTGCCAGAGTACATGGCTTCCTGGAGGCTCCCGCCCTTTCTTAGTGGTCCTGACACCGAATCAGTGGGAAGATTACTTCAATACTGGCTACAGGTTCTCACTGGGAAGCTGATGCCTGTTGTGGTTGTAGCAAACCTGATGAGTGCACAGGCCTTTCTGTGAAACCCCAGTCTGGCTTCAGCCCTTCTGAGCATGTTGTGTAGAGACGGTCCTGATCAGGCCTGGTTCTCCAGAACTGCCAGCCCAGTGACCAGCTTGCTCTTCTGCAAAGAAGTCAGTAGCTTGCTTCCTTACATTTGTAGTCTTTCTCTCTTACAGAGATATGATACGCAGGGATATAGAAGGGAATCAAAGAAAAACTAACTGGGGGAGGGTATCAGTGCACACGAGAGGAGGCAATGACTCTTGTTCCCAGTCCTCTGTTTCTGTGCACATTGGTTAGATGGAAGCTGCTGGATAGTGTGGGAGTGGGATGCTGTGGGTGGCACTGCGGGTCATGGGTGGGTGAGGGGGGAGACTCAATCATCTGCTGCCCTGTGCCTTTTTGAAACTGGAACTCTCTCTCTCTGTGACTGTTAGACCGGCCCTATTCTTTACCAGCAGTAAAAAAATCCTCCCCAAACAGTATTGCCTCTGTGTCCCTCTCTAGTTTTGTCCTCTGGTTTTCATGACATGAGGTGCAAATAGTAGAAACAAACTGAAAGTAAGTTCCAGCTGAGTGTAGAATGAATGGCAGAAGAGGCTGTGACCTAACATAGCGTATTTCTGCCAATCTCCCTCTCTCTGGGACTGTCAGCGCGAGTTGCAGAGTATCTGGGCAGCTGATGCCCATGGAAGTCCCTGCTGGCACAGCATCTAACTTTTGTGTCTCCTTTCATTCTTTGACCAGGCAGAAGATGGAAACATTGAGTACAAGGTGAGCCTTTTGAGGTTGCAGGAGGTCTTCCTCCCAGAGGGTTATATTGCAGTGAGTAACTTCACCAAAGACAGCATATGGGGAACATGTGTAAGGAAGGGATGGAAAAGTAGATACTGTACTAAGGAAGTATCAGTCATCTGTGTTTCTGGGCCTAGCTCACTATGCTGAGCTGGAAGAGTCTGATCTCAGGACTCATTTTTAGGAATTTGTTTTAGGAGAAGAGACCCACTGTGTTTTTCCTGAAATCTTATTCCTTTGGAGAGGGAGGTGCAGGTGTCACTGGTAATCATTTGCCACTTTCTTGTGGCTGTTCCACCATTTTCACTTAGTTGCAAATGTGTCACAGGTAGGTCCTGTCTTTACCTACACAGTAGGCAAAGTACAGCTGCCTGTAGCAAGATGCAGAAAAGTTCTACCATGTGTATCCACTTTTGTGAAACTCTGTCTCACCTGTCCTGTGGTGTCTGTGCAGACACTAACATGGGTTGTGGTTTCTAGAGGTGGGTCAGGACTGGGAACATTGCTTCATGGTGTTGGGTCAGGCAGTTGCTAGCTTGGGCAGTGGGATTCCCTTTACATCCAGCTATGACTATAACCACCCCCTCTGTTAAACAGCTGAAGCTGGTGAATCCCTCGCAGTATCGCTTTGAGCACCTGGTGACACAGATGAAGTGGCGACTGCAGGAAGGCCGAGGTGAGGCCGTCTATCAGATCGGCGTGGAGGACAATGGGCTGCTGGTGGGCCTCTCAGAGGAGGAGATGCGTGCCTCGCTCAAGACACTGCGCCGCATGGCAGAGAAGTACGTGTTCCCTTTCATCTGCAGGGCCCGCAGCCTTAAACAGCCTCCAGTAGAGAGACTGCCCCAGGAGTCCCCTGGGGAGCCGGTGGCTCTGTTCTGCAAAGCCTCTGAAATTCCCTCATCATAAGGTTCTGGAAATGCAAAGGCTCCTTCCCTGCTTTCATCCCATTCACTTTGCCAGCTATAATTCTAGAGGTGCAAGAGCTGCTAAATACAAGTGTGTCTCACCCCTTTCTTTCATGTTTGTGGCAGGGTTGGGGCTGATATTACGGTGCTGCGGGAGAGGGAGGTTGATTACGACAGTGACGTTCCCAGGAAGATAACGGAGGTGCTTGTCCGAAAGGTGCCTGACAACCAGCAGGTAGGGACCTGCGTCTTGGCCATCCTCTCCTGCTAAACACTTAGAGGCTTCATGTAAGCCACTTCCTTTTGGGATGGGAGCCCAAACCCTAGAGGCACTGTGTCATAGATTGGTCCATAGTAGATGCTTTAAAGAGCTGCCAGAGGGAGGCTTGATGATAATGCTTTTCATCTCCAGGATTGTGGTTGAGGCAGATACCAGAGGGGACATTGCCTGGAGCAGAGGTGAGAAATTATTTCACTTCTATGACAACAGTTCTGGTGCAGGCCAGTGTGCAAACAAGGAAGGAGTTAGAGGTCCTACTGTAACAAATAGCCTTTTTTGGTGATATCAAAGCCAGAGTGTGTATCACAACTCCTGCGCAGTAGTTTGCTGGGGGCAAGAGCAGAATCTGAGCAAGATTACACTGCATAGTGTCCATTGCAGAGGGCAGCTCTCTGAGACGCATCTCCCCCACCATGTAGTGTTCATGCACAGCCAGCACAGTGATGGTGAAGTTTCATGATTTCTCTGTTCTTCTACCTGCAGTTCTTAGACCTGCGAGTAGCTGTGCTGGGGAATGTGGACTCGGGGAAGTCAACCCTGTTGGGTGTCCTGACACAGGGAGAGCTGGACAACGGGAGGGGCAGAGCACGCCTGAACCTCTTCCGGCATCTTCATGAAATCCAGTCAGGGAGAACGTCGAGCATCAGCTTTGAGATCCTTGGCTTCAACAGCAAAGGAGAGGTGAGATCTGAAAGCTGGAGGAGAATAGAGCTACCCTCCTGTTACAACTGGGACATGAGGGTAGAGAGGTGACACAGCTCTGTGTCCCTTTAACTGAACCAGAGTGCTAGGTATCCATTTACAGCAGACGCTGTGTACTGCACCCATGGTGAATGATCTCACTAATTCTGAGGTCAAAGTGGATAGATAAGAGCTGAGTTTTTTTCACCTGCCTGCTGGAGCTCCTTTTCTCACCGAGTCCTTATGTCCCTCAGGTGGTAAATTACAGTGACTCCCGAACAGCAGAAGAGATTTGTGAGAGTTCTTCCAAAATGATCACTTTTATTGACCTGGCTGGCCACCACAAGTACCTGAAAACAACCATCTTTGGCCTCACCAGCTACTGCCCGGACTTTGCTATGCTGGTGGTTAGCGCCAACACTGGCATTGGTGAGTGTTGCCCTGCCTGCATGGATTGACAGCAACGTGTGAAAAGAAATGGAGAATGGGGGAGTGAGTCCTTGTTAGCTGGGAATGATGGTCAGAAAAAACACAGGAGTCTGGAAGCCTCTACTGATTTCTTGTAAGCCAGTGCCTGGGAGGGGAGCAGAGCTAGGATCCTCTCACCAGCTGTAGCCAGCATTAAACTGTACACTGGACAGGGAGGCTTTGTTTGGAATTTGAAGCTGTGTTTGTCAGAAAACCCACACAACTTTGGCATATTCTTAGAGGTGCTGAATCCCAAAGCCTTATAAAAAGGCAGATGGAATTCTCCCGTATCTTTTCTTGACATTTTTGTGGCTGTTTTCTGGCAGACTGCAGCCCAAGAATGAAAACTACTGCATCTTTTTGAAACAAACAGATCAGTCACAAAAATCCTTGGTGGTTTTTATGTCTTCCTGGACTGGTTTGCTTTTGTTTAAAAGAATAAATTTGATTTTTTATTGCCTGAGAATCAGTTTCACTGGTTAGACTGGTCACTCTAGAGTGGGCTTGTGGGAGAGCCAGGAGACGTAGCTGTCACGTAAACAAGCAACAATGATGACTGCTATTGCACCTACACTCTCACTTGTTTCCTGCAGCGGGCACAACACGAGAGCACTTGGGCCTGGCCATGGCCCTCAAGGTCCCCTTCTTCATTGTCATCAGCAAAGTTGATTTGTGTTCAAAAGCCACCGTGGAACGGACAGTGAAGCAGCTGGAGCGAATCCTGAAACAGCCAGGCTGCAACAAGCTCCCCCTGCTCGTGAACTCAGATGATGATGCTGTTACAGCAGCACAGCAGTTTGCACAGTCTCCCAAGTAAGGGACCATTCTTTTCTTCTGCTAGGAGCCCACAGTTCAGACTGGGCTACTGTGTAGAGCTGGGGAAGGGTGACCACATTCTTAATATCTTGGCTTCTCATCAAGTTTCCTACCTTTGCATTCTCCAAGAGGGCATTTTTCCCTCTCAGGCCTTTTTCTGGGCTCTGGGAGCAGAACGTGCCCAAGGCTGCATTGGGGTTACTTCTCCATGACAGAAGTGTGGGTTAGCAGGGAGCCGGTGCCTTGACCAACCACCAAGGCAGAGGTTACTGCAAAGTTGTATCTAGCCCATGTGTCCTCCTGCTTGAGCCATTTATTGCTGCAGTCTCTGTCCTTTTGCTGGACTTGGTAAATTCAGAATCCTGTCCACCCTCTGGAGCTGTGCTCTGCCCTTCTGCTTATTCCTGTTTATTTATATCTGACAGCATCACCCCCATCTTCACACTGTCCAGTGTTTCTGGGGAGAACCTGGATCTCTTAAAAGTCTTCCTCAACATCCTGCCTCCACTGACCAACAGTAAAGAGCAGGAAGAACTAATGCAGCAACTAACAGAGTTTCAGGTGCGTAAGGGCAGTTTGTTCCCACTTCTGGTATTGCAGTCGTTGCTGTGACATGTGACAAGCATCCTGGGGATCTGAACACCAGGGGTAGAGATGTGGTGAACTCTTGGACTATTAGGAGACATTAAAATAAAGAAAGGACTCAGTCTTTGGGGGAAAAAAATAAAGCCTGTTAGGCTAGGCTCTGTCCTAACCAAGCGGTGCCCATTTCAGGTGTTAGATTGTTTCTCTGGTTGCCACTTACAAGGCAGAAGTTCCTCTAATGGGAAGGTAGCGTGATCTGGTGAAAACTCCAACACAGTGTCTTAACAATCAGCAGAGAGCTTACCTCTGTCCACATAAGGGGTGGGCACCTTGTCTTTGTTCTGGAGTGCTGTTTCACAGCTGTCTGAGCAGCTTGTTCTTGTTGCCTTGCTGCAGGTTGATGAAATTTACACTGTGCCAGAAGTGGGGACTGTGGTAGGAGGAACTCTGTCGAGGTAAGTGAGGCCAGGCGGACAAATGTGCATGTGAATGGTTGCTGGAGTTCCCTCAGGGTTGGAGTCATCCACTGCAGATGTGGAAGTGGTGCAAGGCTCAGTCCTGACTGCTGCCAGATAACTGAGCCAAGAGAGGGTAAAGCCATACAGGGTGTTGAGAGGTGCCATGAGCAAATTATTGGTGTCGTGGAGGCAAGCAGAGAGTCTGCTGTAAAGTTGCTTGATTGGGAATGTGACCAGCAGAGTGCTGAAGGAAGGCATTCTGGGATGCAGAGTCAGCAGAGGTTAGCCATGACCCCAGGGTGTTGCTTTCCTCCTTCCCCAAGCAGGGGGAGGAAATGTAGAGGACAAGCCCTCCAATCCCAGCAGAGGTTAGCTGCATGCTACCCCGTGAGAATGCAGCTTTCCCTCAGTGTTCAGGAGTGATTGGTTTGGCTGCCAGCATATCTACACAGAACGGGTGTCAACCACAGTCTCCCCAGCAGAAATGGTGCAGTGTGGCAGAGCACCGGGGACCATGCCCCCTGTCTTACCTGGTATTCTTGGGACCTGTAGTGTGGCTTTCATTCTTACTGCAGGAAATCCCTGTTCCTGCCAGCTTTGCATCCCTGTTATTTGGTCCTGGGTAAGAGTCCAAGGGCACTCACCTCCTTGGCCGTGGGGATTTTTGAGGGGTGAAATTTCTTCCTTGTCTCTTGATGAACTCTGTCCTGCACTTCTTTCCTGCTCTGCTGCCCTGGGCAGTGGGATCTGCCGAGAAGGGGAGAACCTGGTGGTTGGTCCCACTGACGACGGGAAATTCCTCCGGTTGAAAGTGTGCAGTATCCAACGCAACCGCTCAGCCTGCCGTGTGCTGCGGGCTGGGCAGGCAGCCACCCTGGCCCTTGGGCCCTTCGACCGCTCCCTGCTGCGCAAGGTGAGTCCTGCTGCTGCCAGCACTGGAGATCCCTCATTGGTAGGGTGGGAATGAAGCAGAGATGCTTGCAGGAAACTTGCTGGAATGGGAGGAGATGGCCAGGCTGCAAAACAGGATGAGACAAGGCTGAGAATGGGATGCAAGTCCAAGTCATAGAGTGGAGCTGTGTTTGTGGTTTTGGAGGCTGTTCAGAAGCACGGAGACATCCTAATTGGTCTGAGTTTTGGGTTGTTGTGCAGGGCATGGTCATGGTGAGCCCAGAAATGAACCCTACTATCTGCTCAGTGTTTGAAGCTGAGATCGTGCTGTTGTTCCACGCCACGACTTTCCGGAAGGGGTTTCAGGTGACAGTGCACGTGGGGAACGTGCGACAGACTGCTATTGTAGAGAAGATCCACGGAAAGGTAAGCATGGGAGGAAAGGGGAGGAAGATGGACCTCCTGTGGGGTTTGTTGGGATTCCACAATACCCTCTAGTAAACCTAGGGGCTACTGGCATCTTCAGTAGCTGTGTCCCTTCCTAGGAGTACACTCCATTTCTTTATCCTGCCTGCTTCGTTGCTTTTCCACCCAATGTGTTAAATAATTCCTTCCTCACAAAGTAAGCAGTACGATGGACTACAGCAAGACTGTGAAAGCAGATGAACTCTCCTTTGTTCAGAGCTAGTATCTTTGTGTCTCACCTTATGCATACAATAATTGGAAGGGTTCAAGCCATGCAGTCTGAGGGAAGCAAGCTCCTCATGTACCTGATCTTAGCATCCAAATGCACCTCTCCTGCATGCACTGGAATGGTGCATGGGGTTCTAAGGTCTCCTCCTTTTCAGGACAAGCTGCGGACAGGAGAAAAGGCAGTCGTCCGGTTCAGATTCATCAAGCATCCAGAATACTTGAAGATTGGAGCCAAGCTGCTTTTCCGTGAAGGAGTCACCAAAGGCATTGGGCATGTCACTGACCTCCAAGCCATCACCACCAAAGAAAATGGGCTGGAGGAGTCCCTGGGGCCTGGACAGCTGAACTTCTGACTACCACTGCATCAGAGAGATCTCCACTCACCAACAACTGGGGAGAAGGATGGAAGCTCCTGTGGCTCTCTGAGTGATGCCGGGAGCTGTTGCTGTCCCGTTCTAGCACGGGTGTCCCTCCTTCACACTGTGAGATGGAAGCTGGGAGAGTTTCTTGCATTCAGTGTCGTACATGGGGCAAGTTAAGCATGTTGTCAACATCGCCTGCAGCTTTTGTTACCCTGCCCTTCTTCAGAATAGATCAGAGGCACCTGCAGACCTGGACAGGCAAGTTCTGGCTTTGTTTACTGTTCGAAAATTACAGGTTGGGAGGAGCAGAACCCCTGAAGACCAGCAGCGAAGGGATATTTTTCCATCTCTGACACAAGAGCTGGTCCTATTTCTGTTCTCCAAGTACTGGGTTGATAACAGTCCTCTCTTGAGCCATCATGCAGAGCATCCTTCTGGGCAGGGGATGGAAGAGGCCCTGCCACCCACAGCAGGGCCTTCGTTGAACCTCTCAGAATGCATTCAGGATACTTTTTAACCGTTTTAATCTTGGTTGGTTTTAATCTGCTGTGTGTCCATTTGTGTGTTGGTTTTGCATTACTCCGATCCGAGTGTCTTACTGTTGGGCAGATGTCCTGTTCCCTGCCCATACATACATACACACCCTTTCAGCATCCCCCTTTCTGACTCCTGGGAAGCTGTGGCTGCTCTGAGTTGCACAGCCTCCCGATGTAACATGAAGGCAGAGTTTGCACTTGCATCTGCTCCTTGCAGCAGCTGTGCAGGAGGCCATTCTGTGGAGAGGAGCAGGGCCTGCACCTTTGCTGGTGTGTGCACGTTGTTTCCACAGACGTTCAGCTGACGGTGTCATCTGCACGTTAGCAGTGGTTTGCAGTGGGCTTCCTAGTGTGGCTCTTCCAGGTCCCAGCCCAGTGTACTCCCCAAATGCTTGCCTTAATGTGTGAGGAAGGCAGGCTGTGTTATGAACACAAACCCAGGTGACTTTATGGTTTAGATGTGATTTGAAAGTGGCATGACTTTATTTCTGTTTCCCCTGGAGGAAGAATTTTCTTTCCCTTGCCACTGGGGTTTGTTGTCAGAAGAAGGGTGATGGTGCCAGCAAGGACTCTGTGCACAAAGAGTGGAGCACATCTGTCTCCCACTTGCTGTCATGCAGCTCTCCTGTGTACCCTGGAGGTGCAGCAGGGGCTGTATAGCTACACAGGCTTTTGGGTTTGTCGTTGACTGTTAGACAAATTGTGTCTGCTGTGGACAATGGGCCTTCAGCCAGCCTTGACTGAAGGGAAGGGCAAAGGTCTATAATAGCACTTGGACACCCAAACAGCCCTTCTAGCATCATGAGAGCAAGTTCTGCTTTCTGGGCTGCTGGCACAGGCAGCACCTGCAGGACTGAGCAGCCCATGGATGTCACCGAGCGGCTTTCCACAGGGCAGGACTCCAGCAGGTGGGAAGTGGTGGCTGCACCCGAAAAGAGCTCGCTCAGACATGGGAAAGCCAGTGAAAGCGATTCAGAGGCAGCTCAGTAGTGACAGGAGTGACCTGTCCCTTCAGGGGAGCACTGACCCAGCTGAAAACTCTGCTTCTTCCCCATCAGCCCAGCTGTGAGACAGGAGCTGCTGCGTCAAGGTCACTGCTCATGCAGGATCCCCCTTTCTTCCCATCCTGGCAGTGGTCTGGGTATTAGGGTGACATTGTCTTTCACCCATGCCTGCAAGAAGGCCCCAGCCACCAGCAGGCTCTTCTCTTTGGTGCTTACAAAGTCACAAAGAAAGCTGTCTGGGGGGTGGTGGGGAAATCCAGCTGTTTGCAGCAGCCCTGATGTTTTCTACCCGAAAGCGGGTATGTGGTGCTGTGTCCTCTGAAATAGCTGATGGCTGGTCTCACCACATCCCTGCCATCTGTGGCATGACTGTTCTTGGTGCCATGCTTTCATAATTGCTGTTTTGTTGTCTTGAATTTTTCTAATGCTGGGGGTTCCCCAAGCATCTCTATATAAATGTACAGAATAAACATGTTTTATTGAGCTTGCTGGCAGAGTTGTACAACAAGTGAGGGTGGAGCTGGGCTCTCGCCCTCCTGCCCTTGGAGCTGGGTCATGGTTGGAGGTGGTTGAGCTTCACAGCTTCCTAAGCTTCCTGCATTCAGCGCTATGAATACCTGTGTCCTGTGGCATGGAAGGAATGCACGCGTGCTGCTGTTTACAACCGCTCTCTCTCTCCCGGCTTATCTGAGCGAGCCCGGGTGCGCAGCCTGGGGTGACAGGCAGCCACGTCACCCTGAGCACAGCACTTCAGGCTGTTGTGGGCGGAACCGGCTGCTGCGCGCGAGCGCTTCCTCACAGCCACACATTCCCCCAGAGCCTAATTAAAGGAATGCTTTCTGGGGCACAGAGCTAACCCTGCTTGGTTCTGAAAATAGCTCCGACCTTTCAAGGGGTTTGCTGCTACGGCCTCTCCATGAGAACAGGTTGTTCTCTTGGGGCAGCAGAGGCAGAACAGCTTCCCTGTGGAGGTGACTTGTGGCACTGAAGGGACTGGCCTGTTCTCAACTTTGGTTTTGTGTCAGGTAGTGGCGTGTGCAGACTCCGGTCCTGCCCAACACTTAGGAAATGAGACATGCTGCTGTCATAGGAGCGTGAGGGAACCCTGCCAGACTGGTTGCTATTTCTCTTTATGTGAGGACTTTGGGGAAACTTGTCACTTTGCAATGTGAGGACTGTCATTAATGGGAGTCACTCTGTAATTTCTTCCTCTGCCGATTACCAGCAGAGCTGCACACACCAGAATGAGCTCTTACTCAAACCTCTTAACAACCGTGTTGTCATGTATTAGACCCCACTGACAGTAATGTGGCAGCTTCTTGGCACAGGCTGTCTGCTGGAAGAAAAGCAGCTCCACAGCTCCAAGTAGAATGGTTCAGTTCAGAGAAGACAGGGAAACAGCACATACAAATATTGCTGCACTTTGCATCATTATCCACTGCCTGCTCTCCCCCTGCAGCTGATGAAATGCTCAGCAATTTCCAAACCCCACCCAGTGCTGCCTCGACGTGGCACATCCCTTCCCCCTGCCCCAAGAGCCAAGTTCAAATCACTGGCAGCAGGACTTCCAGAACAGAGTGTCAGGCTACAGGCAGCCAGCAGTGTAGTACAGAGCTGAGCCCTGCCAGGCTTAAGCACAGCACTTGCCCTGGAGCTGGTCTCTCAGTGCCCACTTGCTCCTTCCATGCTATTCTGCTTTGTTGGCTGATGTAATCTGTGGAGCACTGAGGCAGGCACTCTGATGTGAACTGTGGCCCAAAGAGCTGAACAAACCATTCAGCATCACAGGGTCAAAACAAATACCTGTCATCAAGTTACACAGAGAGTACTGCTAAGTCTGGGAAGGAGGGAAAATATGGTCAGGCATGTTTCCCATCCCTCTGTAGGGACTCTACCAGTAGACTGTTCATGTGTCAATAGCAACTATTAGGAACTGGTGCTTACATTTCAAAAAGCCTAACAAAAAGTATGCCTGTGCAGCACCAGCTTCCTCAAGTCTTGACAGCAGGTCTTGTGCACTCCAGAGCTGGTGATAAGCACCATACAATGGACTGCTACACACTGCAAATACACTGTGCTTACAGTGCCTGCTTTTAAAGTAGGAACAGGAAGGTGTAGGAACAGAACTACCAAACTATGGAAATACTCAAGGCAAAACATGTACGTGAGAGCAGGGTGCAGCTTCAGTTAGTACCACACAAGCAGAAGCAACCTTGCAGGCACCAGCTGAACTGGGTAGATCCAGCATCACACACAATCCGCAAAGTCCAGTTCCTCTTAGACTTGGGATACACATAATTTATTAGACTTTTCTGCATTAAAAACCTGGCAAGCAGTATAAAAACTTTTAACTATATTTAAAAACACCAATTCTTTAAAAACACTGATTCTTTTAAAAACACAGATTCTATAAAAGCTGCCAGCACAGGTGGGAGTTAAGGAGGTAAGCGCTTAAAGAAGAAATCCAAAGTTCTTGTTACACCTTCTCTGGGCCGTTTTGCACTAGATCCTGCTGAAGTCTTGGGCTTGTTCTTTGCTTTGGCAGGAGATGTGGAAGCTGCAGCCGTTGGGTTGGGGTCTGCTGCCAGAGTAGTGGGAACACTGGACTCCAGGAAGGAGCTTTGCAACTCTAGAGCAAAGTGGTAGTCCATGTGCTCTGGGAACTCCCACACCAGCACAAGCTGGCCACACTTCTCACAGCGTTGCTGGTCCCCTGGTGAGGCAGGAGGGAGCAGGGTGAGCTCAGGAGAGGGTGGCAAATTCTGCTCATTTTCCTCCATAGCTGGCTCTGATTTCAGAAGGGCCCCAGAGCTGGGTGGAGCTGAGGGTGTTTGTGTAGCATCAGACAGCGCCTTCTCATGGTGAAGCCTCTTGTAAGCAGTACTGCTCCCCTCTCTGGGACTCTGCTTCGCAGGGGACTCCAGGTCACACTGCACAGAGCCAAGGCCAATGCTATCTCCCTCTTGGTGCTCTGGGGAGCTGGGCACAGGTGACGCTGCAGTGGGAGCAGGAGGCAGGCTGGTTGCTGCTGCCATCTGTGACTGCTGCCTTTCTGATGCCTTTTGGAAGAATGACTCAATAGCATTAGCTGGCTTCTGCCTGAGCTCTTTGCTTGGGCTTCTAAAGAACTTGACTATGGGCCTCCTGGAAGATGTATTGTTTTGGCCAGCAGTGACAGTGCTGTCAGGCTGGGTATCACCCGTCATGAAGGTGGTGATGCCTGCAGAGAGGAGTGTGGCAGGCTCCGAGAACTTGCTTGCTGAGAGAAGCACCGATATAAGCGGTGGAGACCTGCAAACGACAGACCAACATCAGCTCAGCCACCAGGCTGGGAAGCAACAAGTCTTTTGAGGTAAAACTTTAAGCAACATAAAACATTCACAGGTAGGGGAACTGCAGCCGGGTGTAGGAGAGATGTTTCCTCTGACAAAGTGTTAGTTTTGCTGCCTCCAGAACAGTCTCTCAGACATAGTAGGCTATGTTGGGCAGAGCAGAAAGCTTCTTTCCAGAACAGCATTTCCCAAAGGAAGGGGCACTGGAGTAGAAGCAGGCAGCTACCAGTCTACCACAGGCCAGAGCTGCTGTGAGACTCCCAGGTAAGAGGGCTTTAAGGGAGCAGCAGCCTTGTCAGAGCCTAACAGAGAGGACCTTCTCACCTTCACTCAGAGCAGGAGGAAGATGAATAAAGTAACACTGACACAGGAGCTATCCACCTTTGTTTTCCTTCCTGCTCCCGTGGCCTCCTCCCAAAATGCACCTTTGTCCTTAGGGAAGGAGAGCAAGACCTAGCTAGCTTCTCCAGCCCAGCAGGGCAAAGGACTGCCTTGTCCCAGCTGGACACCACTGTGCCAGTAGCAATCATCAGCTCCAAGTACAGAAGTAAGAAGTGTCTTGCCAGATATGGGGCAGGAAGAGGCCAGCTCTCACTGCTGTCCTACCACTAACAAGCAAATATTTCTGTGCTCTGCTGTGCATGGACCAGGGACCACTTTTTCCTGCCAGTCAGTGTAACGCTCCCGTTCCTTTCTGTGCTCATCCTGCACCTCCTGCAGCAGAACAACCCCCAGTGAGGAAGGACACTGAACTACTTTCAGGCACACTCACCAGGCCGCCTGGTGAGCCCCAGCCACGTTGCAGTTTTGGATGAGGGCAAAGGCATCGTTGCACATCTTCTGGGCATCGTAGCGGGTCAGAGCACAGAAGCGTGACACCCGGGTGTTCCCCTGCATGCGGATGACCACCATCAGCTGCTTGGCCACTCGGCGGTTCTGCAGAGAGAGAAGAGGTAGCTGTGTTTCAAGCGACACCTGCAGGAAAGAGCAGGAATGGCCGAGGAGACTGTCCCGCTGCCCAGAAGCTTGCGCCATCAGCTACCGCCTGCCGATGATGCTGTGGCAGATGGCAGCTTGTCCTGCCTGGCCTGATCTCCAAGGGACGACATACAGAACAGCAAGTGCTGGTACAGCTGTGCTACACCGGATGGGAAGCAGTTAGTCCTTGCTTTCCTTCCAAAGCAGCTGCGCACCCTTTCCTGCCATCCTTACAACAATCACTAGTCTCACCCTGGCCTGCAAGTCTACCACATCTAGATTTGAGCATATTGCTTCCTCTCACAGCCCACAGCACAAGCAGAGCTGCATCAGCAAAGGCCTTGCAACGGAGCAGGATGGCGTGGTGGCTTTCAAGTCCTTGCAACCTAAAGCACAGGACAAGGACAGTCCTTAACCCTGCAGTGTTCTGGGGCAACTATCCTCCAAAGAGGCTCCTACACACCTCTCTGCTTGAGCACCTCTGCACACAAGCACATACCTGAGGGTGAGCACATTTCCACACACACACAGCACTCTCAGCCTCCTGCAATCAGCTCACAGTGCAAACGGGCTGCATGGCTTCCTGAAGCAGGGGGAATGCTGTCCTCGTGCCTCCCCTCCTTACCTGGCTCCTGTCTTTGATCAGTCTGGCTTCCAGCTCCAAGGCCAGCTGCAGGAGCCAGTGCTGCACCTGGACAAAACAGTGGTTAACAGACAGGTTGAATCTCTGCTCACAGCACTGCCACCAGGCCAGAGCAACACTCTGCACAAGCTGGGCACTGCTGGAGAGGGATCAGACTGAAAAGGACAGAGACTATTGTAAGGCCCCATATCTGGACTACTCCTGGAGAAACTGGCCCAGGTAAGGACTCAGCACTGGAGGCAAGGCAGTACAAAGTCCTCCATACAAGTCCTCCAGCATTACTACTAGTCTTTGCTAAGTAAACTTTCTACCTGTCTTCCCACAAATCTGTGGCAACCTCTTCCCCAGCTAACAGGCAAGGTGCATCCTCCCTCCTCCTTTTAGACTTTAGTTACTCCTTTAGATACTTCAGTTACCTTTTTCTGTAGCAACCAAGCGCTTGAAGCTTAGCACCATGAATACCTTTTGAACAGCACCGGCCCACAGTTTTTCTTATGGAAATTACAAGAAGGTTGGACATCTTGTGCAGT